TGCTGATGATGCTCTGATGTTTCCTCACAGACGGACAGGCTGATCCAGCAGCTCCCTCTGGAACACATCTGTCTGCAAACCAACCCTCCTGCGCTCCGCCTCCACAAACGTGAGTTTCTCTTCTTCATATTTCTGCCTTAAACCAAACCAGAAGCAGACGTTCTCCACCTGGTGCCTCAGAACCAGCCACAGAGATCCTCACGCCTTCTAACCATCGCCTGACTCCCAGTAAATCCTCATGTTTCCAGAACTTTGTTTTAATTCATTATTCTGCCTTGAATCTACAATCTTCCTCTCAGAGAGATTAAATGTGACGTTTATGAGCAGCTTTGTTTCCAGCGTTGGATGAAAAGTAAAACCCAATAACTTCCGACATTTCTAGTGAGTGTTGGACCCTGAGGAACGCCGCGCTCCTTCATCACACCTGTTTGATTAGAATCACCAGACCATTGATGCTGGACCAGAGCAGCCAGGAGAACATCAGAGGAGAACCTGGATCAGGCCATCTAATGAAACATCTCCACATGTCTGCAGATGGTTTCAGGAAGTCGCTTTATTCTGCCAGCCAACAAACACAGAAGAACCTGTGGTCAGAGCCGCGGTTCTGACCGAACCCAGAAAGTTCTGCCTTTATCTCCTGGTCGTCTGCTTCACTGCAGGTGAGATGTGTCTGAAAAAGAGGAAGCAGCAAACGGATAAATGTTTAGAGTTTCTACGTACCTGTGTTCTACCCTCAGCTTGTTGACGTCCTGGTGATCCAGGCCAGAGCAATCAGCACCAGATGATGCAGTATCACCATATTTAGCTGGAGGCTCTGAATTATTAACCCACTTTGGTTGGATGGAAAAATACCAGCTGGACTGGATCTGCTGCTGACGCTCTGAGTCACCAGGAGGTCAACAGATTTGCATACATCCATAACTGAACATAATAAAAATGCATTTATTATAAATGATTGCCTAAAAAAGTCAGATTATATTTCTTCCATTAGTTAGAAATAACGCTGCTAATGTTGGTTCTACATATTTCCAGTGTTGTGATCACTGATCTATATATATTCCCTGGATTCCTGATTGGCCGAAAAAAGTGAAGTCACCTGCTGCCATCTTGGTACTCCCCACTCCCTCAGAGACCAACACAGTGTGCAACATTTGGCTCCAAGAACCAGCAGCTTTCTGGCTGCAGGAAGAAGTTCCACAGCTAATTTCACAGTCAGTGGATGAATTAACCAAGAAATCCATAAATACGGCGAGGCTGCAGTGTTTGGTATATTTTTCATTTGAGAATGTGCTGATCTGACTCATTCATATATATATATATATATATATATATATGAATGTCGTGTCATTAACAGACATGTACTTGTAATTCAGACTAATATGTAACATGTAATAAATCCATGTATATTGCATGTACATCATCAATTTATCACTTTTGGCTCATCTGTATTATTCTGCTCCATTAACACATTAACTTTTATTGTGATGGAATATGTTGTATCACATTATTTATAGACTTCATTGACCTTAAAATGGCTATGTAATGTGATGGGCCAATTTATTTATCCTTATTCAAGCCGTAGCCATGTCTCTTTTAGAGACTCTTGTTTTAATCACTGTTCTTCCATTAATAAAATAGCCTCAGGGACGGAAAACTCGCCTCATTCCGTCATTTTCCACCAATGTGTTCCTGTTCCTCCCAAATAACTCAGATCTTTGTCAGTGAAGATGAGTGCTCCACATCTCTACCTTCATGGTGCCCATCTACATTAAGATCCAATATTCTGAGATTAAAGTCAGAATTCTGACTTTTTTCTCATATTATACTGAAATAAAATTTAAAAATCAGTTAAAAAATTTTTATTTTTTCTATTGGGCCTAATCCTCTTCCGTAGGTTTATGTCAAAACTACTCATCCAACCATATATGGTCAGTGACGTCACGTGATGACGCGTACAGCTCTGGTCAAAGTGTTTCCTCTCCGGGAGTTTCACCGGGATCAGCCGCTCGCTGCGGGCCGCGCTGCGCTGCTCTCCGCCGGTCAGAGCGCTCAGCAGCACCGCGCTGCTCCTCAGGTGGTTCCGGTAGTGCCTCCGTTCGGGTCTCTCCCAGAACCCACGCGGGTCCGTTTCCACGCGGCACCAGGTCTCCCTCCGCATGTTGAGCTCCAGCAGAACCCGCTCCTCTGATCCGGACATCCTCTGCTGCCGCTTAGATTGTGTCGCCACTGCGTTGGCATGGTAACAGTTGCTGTCCAAAGATCCTATATTCAGGCAGAGAATTCACTCTTTGTCGCTACCCGATCCGTCCTGCGCATGCGCGAACAGATATCCGTCCATAAATAATGTAATAATGTTACTAAAAGTACTATTTCTATCCTTAGCTCACCAAAGAATGCTAATAAACATCTTTAAAATATGTTTTATGACTTGTGAGACAATTTTGATGCTTTTTACAGACGAAGTTTCCACATGTCAGCCTCTCACCAGAGATCTTCTATTGCCGTGTGCTGACTCACTCTGTTTAATTAATGAGTTCCTGAGCCACTCTGGTAGAAGTAGAGAGAGAATAACAGATTTACTTTTCCTACCAAACTACCGCTGTTTGGAATAAATCATCTTTTCTATAATTTCAGCTAAAATGTCTTGAAACTAAATACTTTAAATAACTTTTAAAGGATCTGATCTGAGGCTCATCAGTGCATCTAAATCTGATTTTAACAAAGAATGAGTGAAAGCATCATCAAGCTGGAGGCCATCCTCCTAATCACTGCTTTCTGTATTTAAATGACTTCCAGACTAAAAAATGAATCTTTTTACTCCAGATAAACTGCAGCTGATTAAAAGCTCCAACCTGCTTAACAGTCAAGAATCTACAGGATGATGTTGCTTCTTCAAAACCAGCCTGACAATTAATCAGAAGATGATTTAATCCACTGCTGAGGTAACGACATAAACTATGCCTTTTATCTCTCTAATGAATGCCTGACAAGAATCGGGGGGTTTTCTGTTTCTAGAAGAAATGCAGCTCTTCACTCAGTCTGCTGTGGCGTGCTACATTCTGACGGCACGCTATTGAAGCAGCAGGTTTACATGCAAAGGCGATGGTTGACGCGCATCAAGGCGCAGCAAAAGGTCCATCTGAGGAGCATCTGAGGCGCTTCAGGAGCAGCAGCTGCTGGAGGTGGAAAAATGTAACTTTACCTGCTGGATGCGCCGCATCAACCAATGAGAGAAGCTGATCTGGGAGCTGGCAGGGAGTCAGACGCAGCACTGCTGATGCAGAGCGCTATGATCACTCCTCTGAAACAGTTTATTAACGCCTAAATTAACTTCAAATGTAGAAACCTGCCGGCAGAATATGTTGGCTTTTATTATCCTGCTGCCTGCAGTTTGTAGCACAGACCTGAAAAACGCTAACATCTACTTCCAGCCGCCACCAACAGGAGGGGAAAACCCTGGAGAGGCGAGCGGGCCTGAGGCAGCTGCTGCTGGGGATTCCCAGTGACAGCGCAGCGCCGGTATGTGGGGGTCTGAGCGGCTCCCACAGAGAAATAATCTTTGAAGGCAGGATGGTAATCTGGATGAACTGACTGCACAGACCATGTTTTCAGGAGGACTTTCTCACTTCAACATAGATTCTAACTACTTTCTACCCGCTGATCACAGCTAATATAGCAAAGCTGCTCTCTGGCATCGAACACAGGAGCAGCAGAAGCATCTGGACTCACTTTACTGGACGTCTGACCTGAATGTGGATCAGAGATGAAGCAGCGTCGGGTCTGAACGTAGCATTAATGCTAACGTTTTCCTGAGAGCTGACAGTCAGAAACATGAACAGACTAATTATGGCGGTGAGTCTGGGTGTAAGCTGCAGCGCAGCCTCTCTGGGTCACTGTGTGATTAGGATTAGAGCAGATAATGAGCGGAACATATGGAGGAGAAGCATTTCAGCCTTTAGAGTCAGTCTGGATTTGAACTGAATACATTTAAGGTCCAAATCTGGGGAATTTATCGTATCTCTGGAAAAAAAGAATCAATTGAAAAATGGAAACAGGCTGATTTCTCCCTTCTGATAGAAACTGGTCTTAAATTATGACATATCAAAATGTTCTTATTTGCCAAAAAAACTGTTTCTACATTAAAGATTGTTTCATTCAGAGAGTTTAATAGAGCATCAAAAAGAAACCATGTTTGATAATATTTTAGGAAAACTGCCCCAGGGGCCACAGAATGCCGCCATTAGGCAATACTAGGCAGGCCCCAAGTTCCTGGGGTTAGGGTGCAAAGAGCAGTGTTGCCAACTTAGCGCTTTAGTCGCTATATTTAGCCACTTTTCAGACCCCTCTAGCACTTTGATTTCTTAAAAGCTCCTAGCGCCAAATCTAGAGACTTTTTTCTGCTACTGGAGACTTTGGAGACAACATCTAAAAGCAGCGAACTCTGCTCTCCAGAGCGAGTAGATTGGTAACCCCGCCTCCTGCTCTCCTCTATCTTGTCTGCTGTCATGATTCATGCAGCTATTATTTCATCCAAATGAAAAATGGAGAACAGATAAGCAGATCATGGCTTGTCTACAGTGAAAAGAAGGACTGGGTTATTTACTTTGGCCTTTTTGGAAACACAGGAAGGAGCAATCAGCTAAGTGAGCTTAGTGCTTGGAAAAAATCTTTCATTCCTTTAGAGACAGCATGAAAAGTCAGCTGAGTACAAAACATAGAGAGGAAAACAAGAAGAAAAGGGACAAGAAGAGAGGGACACAACCTAGAACAGATAATGGATGTCTATTCTATTAACATTTCTACATCTGGAGAATGGGGCTGTTTTATGTTTGATGTGCTCTCCATTGGGGGCCCCTTGCCTGTATTTGCCTAGGGCCCCACATTTCCTAGATCCGCCCCTGACTGTGGCCCCTAGGTCGCATTTTGCCCCCCCACCCTGGTCAACCCGGTGAAATAATGCAGCTTTTATTTTGAAAAGTGTCAGTGAACTTTATTCTGTGCAGCTGGAGGTCGTTGTTATCAGGATCTGCTTTCTGCAGCAGATGAGCGGCTCTGGCTGCTGCTCTGCTATTGGCTCCTCAGCATCGGAAGGCTGAGTCAGCTGGGCGGAGGACGGCAGCATGCGGCTCAGGAACCCAGCCGGAGCAGAACCGGAGTGAAACCGGAGCAGAACCCCGATGAGGAGATTGGCCGATAACCTGTCGGCGCCTCACAGGAAGCGCTGAGCGTCATGGTGGCCGGGGAGCTCGTGCAGGAGCACGTGCGCGCGGACACCGGCGCACCTGACGACATCATAGCGGAAAAGAAGAGCCCCCAGCCGCAGGGCGCGCGGCCGGCAGCCGATCCCTGCCCGGATCCGGACCCGGAACCCGGGGCGCAGGAGGGGCCGCCGGATGAAAGAGCCGCGATGCTTCCGAGCGCCGGAGGAGGAAGAGGAGAGGAGGAGGAGGATGAAGGCAGGGCGCTGCAGACCAGGCTGTACCGGCGGCGCTTCGCGGTGCTGATGGTGTTCAGCCTTTACTCCCTGATGAACGCCTTCCAGTGGATCCATTACAGCATCATCGCCAACGTCTTCACGCGCTACTACAACGTCACCAACGACAGGGTGGACTGGCTGTCCATCGTCTACATGGTGGCCTACATCCCGCTCATCTTCCCGGCCACCTGGCTGCTGGAGCGCAGAGGTCTGCGGCTCACCGGGCTGCTGGGCTCCGGCCTCAACTGCGCAGGCGCCTGGCTGAAGTGCGCGAGCGTCAGTCCGACGCGCTTCTGGGTCACCGTCACCGCGCAGGTCATCTGCTCCGTGGCGCAGGTCTTCATCCTCGGCCTGCCGTCCCGCATCGCCTCGGTGTGGTTCGGACCGCGGGAGGTGTCCACGGCGTGCGCCACGGCGGTGCTGGGGAACCAGGTCAGCCCAGAATTGAACCCAGAACCTTCCGGCTGCAAGGCAGCAGACCTACCTACTGCTCATCATCTGACTTGTTTTGAGCAAAATAAGATAATTACATATAAACTACTTGAAATAGAGAAATTTAACTTGAAATCATCTTATCAGTAAATTGTCTCACCTACAATCTCAAAATGAGACAAAATAAACTTATTTTAAAGAAAATAGACTTAGGTTTCAGTTTTTTGTAGTGTAGAGGGGCCAGGATCAGTTCTCATGGGGCGCTGGCCCCTGTTGGCCCCTGCCTACAACCGCCTATGGGAGGGGGGGCTCTTAGATTGTATTTCCTGCAGTAAAAACTTATTTTAGGATGAAAATTATTTAGATTATTTTATAATGAAGTAGTTTAGATGTTAAAAATGACTGATCTGTGTGATGAAACTCTGAGCTTCTGTAAAACTGCTCCCCATGACGAATATGAGCTATAAACAGGGGGGGGAATGGCAGCCTAGTGGCCATTGCCTGTCTTTGCCTAGGGCCCCACATTTCCTAAATCCGCCCCTGGCTACACTAAAGTCTTTGGTTTTATTTAAACTACTGAGAGTTTCTTAGTCTTCTACTCATCATGCTGCCATCCATTATTTATTATAGTAAAAATAAAAATCAGCTGTAACTCCTTAAATTCCTGGAAGAAGATGAAACTGGGGAACATTCCGATTCTGAATTGGGAAAACAGGGAAAGGTTGAGGAATGAATTTCCGGCTTTAAAAGATGCCGTTCTCTAACGTTCTCCTCTCCGTCTCTCCTCCATGCAGCTGGGCACGGCCATCGGCTTCCTCCTGCCGCCGGTTCTGGTTCCCACCACTCCTGATGATCCAGAACTAACAGGTGATGAACTGGTTCCCATTAGAATCCAGTCTGCAGGGAAACATGCAGACGGTTTAAATCGATGAAGTGAAGCTCGTGTCTTTTTAACGTGTAATATAGTAATGAACCAGGTGTTGGCGTGTTTGACATGCAGTCAGCTGCAGGGTCATGTGGTTCCTTATATAAAGTTGCTCCTCTGCGTCTCCAGCAGCAGCTGCAGATTTCTGGATGTTTTTATTTTTTCTGTCCCGCAGGTCACCACATCAGCATCATGTTCTATGGAACAGCTGCCGTCTCCACGGGCCTCTTCATCCTCGCCCTTCTAGGTAAACACGCACCCAGGCTAGCAGCGCTAACGCTGGGCGCCTGGAACTCCTGACCCCTGGCTGACCTTTGCACTCAGGGAAAGTGGTGTTTACTGCTGCTGAGGATCCTGGGTGTTCAGGGTGACACAGATATTCCAGAGATCCTCCATGTTTGGTTCTTAAACAGGAAGAAGGGAGGGCGCGGGTGGCGCCGGGCTGATTTGAATAGGATGGAGGCGCTATGCAAAGACAGACTGAGGGCCTCTGTGGTCCCTGGAAACCAGGATCCTTCCTTTGGTCTCCAGGCGCCACTCTGTATCAGGGGAAAAGCTACCAACAGGGAAAACGCTGCAGCACAGCTGCTCCACTTTCACTGAGTTAGTGCTGCTTCCTGATCCAGCATGGAGAACATTCCTGATGCACAGAACCTTCTAAACGTTTCCACGCCGCTGACACGCAGGGTTTAACTCGTTTCAAGCAAAAACGGTTCAAATGTTTTCTTACTGATCAGACAGAATCAGACTGCATCTATAACTCTAAATATCAGTGTATCGTGGTTCTATCGTGTTTTCAACAACAGGAAAGAATTCAATGAATAGATGTTTCTCTAATAAAGTTTAAGAAGAAAAAAAATCAATCCACTGGACTTGGTTTCCAAGATTTGAAGACGTTTCGCTTCCCATCCAGGAAGCTTTCTCAGTTCTAATGTCTGGATCCGCAGTGAGTTTGGTCTCTATAGAGACAAAGCCTGGAATCGCTGGGAAACATGCAAATAAAACCAATGAATGGGTAGTTTGGTTCCATCGTTAGCCTGTAATACCTGAAACCTGTCAATGATTCTGAAGGTCGTTAAGGGGGGGGGGTTGTCTCCTATAATAGGTATCCCCCCCCCCCCCCCCCCCCCCCCCCCATCACAGAGGAACAGAGTACCTCCTCTCTTCAGCCGGTAAACAATCAATTTGTTTCCCAGCGATTCCAGGCTTTGTCTCTATAGAGACCAAACTCACTGCAGATCCAGACGTTAGAACTGAGAAAGCTTCCTATAGAGGTGGAGAAACTCCAGGCACCACCCGTAGAGCGCCTCCACCCTTACAGCGTAGAGCGCCTCCACCCGTAGAGCGCCTCCACCCTTACAGCGTAGAGCGCCTCCACCCGTAGAGCGCCTCCACCCTTACAGCGTAGAGTGCCTCCACCCTTAGAGCGCCTCCACCCTTACAGCGTAGAGTGCCTCCACCGTTAGAGCGTAGAGCGCCTCCACCCGTAGAGCGCCTCCACCCTTACAGCGTAGAGCGCCTCCACCCGTAGAGCGCCTCCACCCTTACAGCGTAGAGTGCCTCCACCCTTAGAGCGCCTCCACCCTTAGAGCGCCTCCACCCTTAGAGCGCCTCCACCCTTAGAGCGTAGAGTGCCTCCACCCTTAGAGCGCCTCCACCCTTAGAGCGCCTCCACCCTTAGAGCGCCTCCACCGTTAGAGCGTAGAGCGCCTCCACCCTTAGAGCGCCTCCACCCTTACAGCGTAGAGTGCCTCCACCCTTAGAGCGCCTCCACCCTTAGAGCGCCTCCACCCTTAGAGCGCCTCCACCCTTAGAGCGTAGAGCGCCTCCACCCTTAGAGCGCCTCCACCCTTACAGCGTAGAGTGCCTCCACCCTTAGAGCGCCTCCACCGTTAGAGCGTAGAGCGCCTCCACCCTTAGAGCGCCTCCACCCTTAGAGCGCCTCCACCCTTAGAGCGCCTCCACCCTTAGAGCGCCTCCACCCTTAGAAAGCCTCCGCCCTTAGAGGGTAGAGCGCCTCCACCCTTAGAGGGTAGAGCGCCTCCACCCTTAGAGCGTAGAGCGCCTCCACCCTTAGAGCGCCTCCACCCTTAGAGCGCCTCCGCCCTTAGAGCTCAGAGCGCCTCCGCCCTTAGAGTGTAGAGCGCCTCCGCCCTTAGAGCTCAGAGCGCCTCCGCCCTTAGAGTGTAGAGCGCCTCCGCCCTTAGAGCTCAGAGCGCCTCCGCCCTTAGAGTGTAGAGCGCCTCCGCCCTTAGAGCGTAGAGCACCTCCACCCTTACAGCGCCTCCACCCTTAGACCGCCTCCACCCTTAGAGCGCCTCCACCCTTAGAGCGTAGACCGCCTAAACCCTTAGAGGGTAGAGTGCCTCCACCCTTAGAGGGTAGAGCGCCTCCACCCTTAGAGCGCCTCCACCCTTAGAGGGTAGAGCGCCTCCACCCTTAGAGGGTAGAGCGCCTCCACCCTTAGAGCGCCTCCACCCTTAGAGCGCCTCCACCCTTAGAGGGCCTCCACCCTTAGAGCGCCTCCACCCTTAGAGCGCCTCCACCCTTAGAGGGTAGAGCGCCTCCACCCTTAGAGCGCCTCCACCCTTAGAGCGCCTCCACCCTTAGAGGGTAGAGCGCCTCCACCCTTAGACCGCCTCCACCCTTAGAGGGTAGAGCGCCTCCACCCTTAGAGCGCCTCCACCCTTAGACCGCCTCCACCCTTAGAGGGTAGACCGCCTCCACCCTTAGAGCGCCTCCACCCTTAGAGCGTAGACCGCCTAAACCCTTAGAGGGTAGAGTGCCTCCACCCTTAGAGGGTAGAGCGCCTCCACCCTTAGAGCGCCTCCACCCTTAGAGGGTAGAGCGCCTCCACCCTTAGAGCGCCTCCACCCTTAGAGCGCCTCCACCCTTAGAGCGCCTCCACCCTTAGAGGGCCTCCACCCTTAGAGCGCCTCCACCCTTAGAGCGCCTCCACCCTTAGAGCGCCTCCACCCTTAGAGCGCCTCCACCCTTAGAGCACCTCCACCCTTAGAGGGTAGAGCGCCTCCACCCTTAGAGCGCCTCCACCCTTAGAGGGTAGAGCGCCTCCACCCTTAGAGCGCCTCCACCCTTAGAGCGCCTCCACCCTTAGAGGGCCTCCACCCTTAGAGCGCCTCCACCCTTAGAGCGCCTCCACCCTTAGAGCGCCTCCACCCTTAGAGCGCCTCCAACCTTAGAGGGTAGAGCGCCTCCACCCTTAGAGCACCTCCACCCTTAGAGCGCCTCCACCCTTACAGCGCCTCCACCCTTAGAGGGTAGAGCGCCTCCACCCTTAGAGGGTAGAGCGCCTCCACCCTTAGAGGGTAGAGCGCCTCCACCCTTAGAGCGCCTCCACCCTTAGAGGGTAGAGCGCCTCCACCCTTAGAGCGCCTCCACCCTTACAGCGCCTCCACCCTTAGAGGGTAGAGCGCCTCCACCCTTAGACCGCCTCCACCCTTAGAGGGTAGAGCGCCTCCACCCTTAGAGGGTAGAGCGCCTCCACCCTTAGAGGGTAGAGCGCCTCCACCCTTAGAGCGCCTCCACCCTTAGAGCGCCTCCACCCTTAGAGGGCCTCCACCCTTAGAGCGCCTCCACCCTTAGAGCGCCTCCACCCTTAGAGCGCCTCCACCCTTAGAGGGTAGAGCGCCTCCACCCTTAGACCGCCTCCACCCTTAGAGGGTAGAGCGCCTCCACCCTTAGAGCGCCTCCACCCTTAGACCGCCTCCACCCTTAGAGGGTAGACCGCCTCCACCCTTAGAGCGCCTCCACCCTTAGAGCGTAGACCGCCTAAACCCTTAGAGGGTAGAGTGCCTCCACCCTTAGAGGGTAGAGTGCCTCCACCCTTAGAGGGTAGAGCGCCTCCACCCTTAGAGCGCCTCCACCCTTAGAGGGTAGAGCGCCTCCACCCTTAGAGGGTAGAGTGCCTCCACCCTTAGAGGGTAGAGCGCCTCCACCCTTAGAGGGTAGAGCGCCTCCACCCTTAGAGCGCCTCCACCCTTAGAGCGCCTCCACCCTTAGAGCGCCTCCACCCTTAGAGGGCCTCCACCCTTAGAGGGCCTCCACCCTTAGAGCGCCTCCACCCTTAGAGGCCTCCACCCTTAGAGCGCCTCCAACCTTAGTAGAGCGCCTCCACCCTTAGAGCGCCTCCAACCTTAGAGGGTAGAGCGCCTCCACCCTTAGAGCGCCTCCACCCTTAGAGCGCCTCCACCCTTAGAGGGTAGAGTGCCTCCACCCTTAGAGGGTAGAGTGCCTCCACCCTTAGAGGGTAGAGCCCTCCACCCTTAGAGCGCCTCCACCCTTAGAGGGTAGAGCGCCTCCACCCTTAGAGCGCCTCCACCCTTAGAGCGTAGACCGCCTAAACCCTTAGAGGGTAGAGTGCCTCCACCCTTAGAGGGTAGAGTGCCTCCACCCTTAGAGGGTAGAGCGCCTCCACCCTTAGAGCGCCTCCACCCTTAGAGGGTAGAGCGCCTCCACCCTTAGAGGGTAGAGTGCCTCCACCCTTAGAGGGTAGAGCGCCTCCACCCTTAGAGGGTAGAGCGCCTCCACCCTTAGAGCGCCTCCACCCTTAGAGCGCCTCCACCCTTAGAGCGCCTCCACCCTTAGAGGGCCTCCACCCTTAGAGGGCCTCCACCCTTAGAGCGCCTCCACCCTTAGAGCGCCTCCACCCTTAGAGCGCCTCCAACCTTAGAGGGTAGAGCGCCTCCACCCTTAGAGCGCCTCCACCCTTAGAGCGCCTCCACCCTTAGAGCGCCTCCACCCTTAGAGGGTAGAGCGCCTCCACCCTTAGAGCACCTCCACCCTTAGAGCGCCTCCACCCTTACAGCGCCTCCACCCTTAGAGGGTAGAGCGCCTCCACCCTTAGAGGGTAGAGCGCCTCCACCCTTAGACCGCCTCCACCCTTAGAGGGTAGAGCGCCTCCACCCTTAGAGCGCCTCCACCCTTAGAGGGTAGAGCGCCTCCACCCTTAGAGCGCCTCCACCCTTAGAGGGTAGAGCGCCTCCACCCTTAGAGCGCCTCCACCCTTAGAGCGCCTCCACCCTTAGAGGGTAGAGCGCCTCCACCCTTAGACCGCCTCCACCCTTAGAGGGTAGAGCGCCTCCACCCTTAGAGCGCCTCCACCAGCTTTAATCACACAGTTACTCCCATGGTGGAGCCATACCTCCTCCTGTTAAGCTGGACGTTTTGGCCTCGCCTCCATCAATGGTTTCCCTGATTCTTCTTCTCTGAACCGACTGTGTTTGTCCTGCAGTGATAAAAGACAGACCTCCTCTCCCTCCCAGCCAGGCCCAGGCCGTCCTCCCAGGCTCCCTGCTGGACACATACTCCTACAAACGCTCCATCATCAACCTGATAAAGAACAAGGCCTTTGTTCTGCTGCTGGTCAGCTACGGTGAGCAGGAGAACATTCTTCTTCTTCTGTGGTTTTATCTTTCAGGCAGGGATTAACGGCTGATGGCTGAACGGGTCGGATGGATCCGACATATCGGGCAGAGATAAGCGTAGAAGATTAATTCCTGAAAACCTGCAGTGCGACGTTAGTGAAGCCGTCTGCTCCACATGAAAGGAAGGATTATTCCTTCAAAGCTGCTGCTTCATGGAGCTGACACTTTCCCAAGCTTCCGCAGGAGATCCCAGAGCGTTCCCATGTTCTGCTGGGTTTACGCCGCTGTCTTCTCATCCCCGCAGGAATCCTGACCGGCTCCTTCTACTCCGTCTCCACGCTGCTCAACCAGATGATCATGTCCTACTATCAGGTAGAGCAAAATAAACCAACACATTTTAAACACATTTAGCAACACCTCAACAGATTGACCTTAAATAACCCCACCCCCCTTCCAACATTATCAAAGGAGTTGCGCCCCCTGGTGGAGATAAATACAGAATGTTAGGATAAATGGTTCCCACAGGGCTGAATGTTCCTGGGAGGTGAAGCTAACGTCAGACTTCATCCCAGGAACCGTCGTGGCGCTCGTTATGACCCGGAGGCGGGGCATCCAGAACCTGACAGCTTTCTTCTCTTTGTCTTCCGTAAGCTGGAGACTCTGTTCCTCCTTCAGAGACGACTTTCTATGCTACACGCTATGCTGCGCTCTATGCTGCGCTCTATGCTACGCTCTATGCTGCGCTCTATGTTACATTCTATGCTGCGTTCTATGCTGCTCCTGTGCTGCCATGTTTGCTTGGGTTCTGCAGCTCCTGCT